GGGACATTGTGCAGGCAGGGCCCATGGGGTGGCAGGCAAAAGCTTCATTTGGGGTTTGTTGGGGTCATTAAGGCTTAGTGGTGCCCTCATGTCACAACCCAGACTGGGAGCCGAGAGTTGTAACAGTTCTGTGATCCTCTTGGCTTAAATTAAGGTGAAATGACATGAAGTAATCTGTTAAAAAGTTTTACTTGCGGTAGAAACAACTTAAACATGGAAAAGAATAATAAGCAAGGTGGTCTCTTGTAAATTCACAAGAAAGAAAAGGGAAGAAAAGAAAAAGAGAGAGAGAGAGTCAAAGAAATCTGGCTCACCACTCAAGGATCCAGCTTTATCTCAGGTCTGGTAATCTTGAGTAGTGGGTGCACACAAAACAAAGTTTTCTGTTGCCTTTTAATTTCATCTTATCAGCTGTTTAGCATACTAGACAAAGAGAGCCAGGTATTCCATGAACCCATTTTCATGAGAGATGGGCAAAAGGTGGAGCATGGGTTCTGCATGTGCATTGTGGGGGGAGTGGGGTACATTAACCTTTTTGTCCAATTGAGTTGGTGGTCACTATGTCCTCCTACCACCTGTCCCTTTCCCTCAGTTTTTGTTTCTTGGGCAATTATCCAGTCATTAGCTCCATCTGGTGTCGGTTATTTATCTTTCTTACCAATCTTTTAGCTCTTCTTTGAGGCTACAGTTGTAAATTAAAGTGTAGACCTTAACCTGAACATGTGGTTTTACTCAGTCTATGTCTCCTCCCTTGGAGGCTTATCTAAGGAATTTGGCTATGCAACTGCAAGGGAGCAGAGCCATGCACCCTTCCATACACCCTGTGCTTCCCTAGGCAGATAATTCATTCCTCAGACTAATCACAAAGGCCACAATTTGTCCTTGAGGTTTTCTGTGTTGATGAGTGCTTGAGGCACTGATTTCTTCAGTTCCTTACACCTTAGGACTCTGAGGCTCAGCCTAGGAAAACAACAGCAGGTGATACTTTGGGGAGAGGAGAAAGAACCCAGTAAGGTGCAAGAACACTCACAAGATCATTCCTCCTTCACCCCACCATGAGCAGCAAATGGAGTCAAGAGTTGTATCACTCAACAGCCGACTTCAACGTAGCCTGAAGTAATTGATAATAAATTAGCTTAGTATAAACAGCTGTAAGTAAGATTCAATCTGGATCTGACACCTTCCCACAGGGAAGCCCAGGTTCTCATGGTGTTTCCAAAGCTCTGTATCCCTCTTTTACATTGTCAGATCTGATGCACAATTCATTATTGTCATCCAGTCAGAGACTTTACAGTCGCCTCATTCATACTTCACATTCTCTCCTCCTCTCTCTGCTCTTCAACCTACCCCAGGCTACTTAAAATTATTATGTTAACTTGTTCTAAGTAACACATTCTTTGTTACAAGGTTTTTTCTGCTTCTTTGGCTGTCCCCTCTGATGAGCAAGTTTTAGGCTCTGCACTATTGGCTGAATAAGTGTGTGCCCTTCACTATGCACAACGCACTGCAGCTCATCTGTGCAGCAAAATGGCTTTTATTAATCTCTGCCTGCAGCCCAACTTTGAGCAGTGACTAATAACTGTTTTTCAGGGCTGCTTATCTTGTCATTCACAAGATCAACATTTAGTTTCCTAAGTCCTTTCTCCCCGAAGTGAGCTTACAGCAGTGCTGTTCCCAGCACTGCAGGGACTGGTTTCTGCTCTGCAGTCATGTCTAAGGGCAAGTGAACTTCAGCACAGGTATAAGGATGTCTTATTCTTGCATGACTTTAAAACTCAGTTACTCTCCTAACAGAAGTTGTTCCCAATGTTCAGGCCCTCACTGTTCAGTCTGTTTTGTTCCTTGGAGGCCACCACACACTTGGAAATGAGAACAGTCTGTATCTTATTCCACTTATAAAGCATATTATCCTACTTTTCAGATGATGAAAAAGGAGAAATCTTGTGACTTGGTTGGAAACGATCTCTAGATCTCTGCTTCCTACTTCTGCCTTCCATTTGCAGTACCTTGGAGGAGATTGGTGTCCTTGAAATAGCAGCTCCCCGGGGAAGAGACTAGATGGAAGCAGAAGAGAGAAATCAGCTTGGGGTAGAAAAAAAGAGTAAGCAGTAGGGCTCTGCAATGTCCCCTGTGGGGCAGCAGTCCTTTTACAAAGGATTGCAATGGGCTATAATCACCTCCTGTGCAATTACAGTGCAGCACAGGCCAGCACTGCCCAGCTCAGCCATCCCATTCCAGGGACTTGTTTTCAAGCTAACACTGACCTTAGAAAAGGAAATCACAGATTTTTCTATGACCTGGTTCAGCAAATAGGCAGGTGAGGACTAGTCAGATGGAGACCCAGATTCAGTCCTTTGATGGAGATCTCTCACTTTTGTTCCAGCACAAGAAATCACTTTCAGTTGTGTTTTGGGTCAGGAGATGGAGGCAGTGGCTCCAAGTGTGCCTTGGCTACAGGCAGTTCAGGCTGATAATCTGGTCCCATGCGGTGATACCTGGTTGCTTCACTTTGGCTCTGGATGGGATGAGTGTTAGCTAAGGTGGTGGTGGTAAGTAAATACTCATTCCCCATGGAGGGACCTAGTTGAAAGTTTGCTGAAGTATTTGATACTGAGTGTCCTGTTACTCACCCAGTTTTCATCCTGATCTTTTTCCTCTCCTCACTCCCCATCTGTGGGGACACTAGGCTCCTTGCAGCCTGGGATTCTCAAGAAGTTCTCATGGGAAATATCACATTCTCAAAGAGCAAGTAAACATCCCAGGGCACTTATATTGGAGTAGATGTTTGCTCTGGCTCCAAAGACCCTCTCATTCCCACCATACCAGAACATGCTGAATGCCAATCAGCTTCATGCGTCCCATCGAAACACAAAATATGCACTCTTGTGCAAGTGCTCACCAACACAGCCGGTCTCCACCTCTCCTCCAGGTGGACCATGCTGAATGCTGGAGACAGAACTGGTGCTGAGACGATACACACAGTCAATGAGTTAATGAGGTGATTGACAAAGGCCCCACAGCCAAATTCCTCCTGAAATCCACAGAAACAATGTGCATGGCTAGAAACAGGACAGCAAATGTATCAAGACAAGACTTACCTGGCCCACTGTGCAAGACCAGATTTCTTTTTAAAAGTCGTCAGAGCTTTGATCTCTCTTTGTTAACATAACTTTTACTTTGATTTAACTCCACTGATTTTTGCTTGTCCATGCATACACCTGAACACAAAATCAGACTTTGGTCACATCCCGCTCAGACGAGGGAGACAAATAACTTAAGATTTGTAAATCCCCAACGGAGTGGACAACAGTGAGACAAGTCTCAAAGTCCAGACATTTATTAACTTCCCACAATGTACTAACTGGATACACGATAATTAGCCAAGTATATAACAAGTATGCCTTGTATTACTTAAAGGTAGTGAAGGAAAAAGGAAAAAAGGAAAAGAGGGAGATAGGGAGAATAGAGAAATACGTATCCCGGTCTGGCTTCCTGTGTCGATCCCACCAGTGAGGGTTCCAGGAGGCATCTGTCTTCTTTGCTTCACTTCAATCTCTGGACCTGCCTTCTCCTTGCCTCCCCTAGATTTATACCTACTTTCCTTGGGTCTGTCCCCCAGGTCAACCCACATCCCTACGTATCACATGTATGGGGAGGAGTAAGGTGTTTCATGGGATGATGTAATCAGCATGATCTTGTTAAATCTTCATTAGCATATACAGCAGTGTTAATATGCATTTTGTGGATAATGAAGCAAAGATCATTCACTGGACAGATGGCCCTTGAAATTTGCCCAGGTGCCCCAGAGCAGAACCATCCTGTCTCCAAGGGCTCCCCCCTCCAGCTGCATCCTGTTATTTGGGCAGCCTTATCAGCTTCAACCTCCACACCATCCACCCCGTGACCATAGTCCCATTACTTGCAAATGTTTGAGACATTCCTTAGCTCAGAGGGCCTCCACTCACTCCCACTACCCTTTATCTCTTTCTCAGGCTGTTTTTCTCAGTCTTTGTTTCTTGCAGACCCATTTCTTTCAGGACCTGTTTTTACAAGTTGTTTCTCACAATCTTGTGGGTATTTTTTTCACTTGGTGACTGGGACTGCCAAGTGAATGTTTACTGATGTGGTTTTCTGCATAAAAACTGTGCAGTGGAGACTGGGGCAATGATCTGAATTTTAAGCATTTTATTGTTATTATCTGGGAGCCGCTTTAATGGGTTTAGGGAGAAAAGAATGAAGGCTATTTTGCTACAGTGAGGATTTTACTTTGTTCAGTCCCTAGATAAATCCATTTTTTCTCATGGAGCTTGGATTTTGCCATGGTCCCGTTTCAAACCCAACACAACTATCAGCAGCAGACACCAGAACTGGCAGTCCAAACAATCTGCAAGGCATTTCTTTGGAGGTATCCTTGAGGAAGGCACAGTGTAGTGTCCCTGGCAGATCCTGGTGGTACCCAAGAAAGACTCCCTTTGCACTTTGAGCATTGTGCGTTCACAGGTGGGACACAGAGGTTGGAATGTAGCTCATGGATAAAACCACCCATACTTAGGACATTGTTTCAGTTTCTCATGCCATGGTGTCTGATGTCATTTGAGATGCCCTAAGATACTCTTCCTGGCCTCCAGTTGCTCACGTAGAACAGTCAAAGCCTGTGGCCTTCTAGCCCTATGGCACTTTAGGGTACTTCAAACAGTACCTATGTGTGGGTCACTAACTGAAGCCCTGGAGTCAGTGTGTGGTTTGAGTCAGCTTGAGCTCTCAGCATAGTCCGTGGAGAGCTGGTCAACACAGTCAGCAGAGCCAAGAGGGCTCTTCACTAACTCCATTCATTTGGTTACCACTGATAAGCATCTTGCTCTGGCATTGTTCACCTGTTGCATTGGGGGTAGAATGTAGTGTTGTTCTCTCAATGACAGATTATGAAAAAAAAAACCAACAACAGAAAAGAGGCTCGCTTTGTTTCCTTTTTTTTTTTTTTTTTTTTTTAAATACTTACTTTATTGAAGAGTTATTCCAAACTATCAGCCCTGATTTTTCCCAGAAGCTAGGACACCTGCACTGGTGATGGTCAATTGTGGAAGATCCAGTGATGTCCAGGAAAACTACTCACATTGACTCATCACCCTGTCTATGTACAGGCACACAATAATACAACTGGCAAACCTCTCATACCAGTTCATCTTTCTGGTAAAAATCTCTACAGTCCTATGCTAGTGAAAAGGAAATAAATGTTAGTTATGTGGTGACTACTTTCTACCTGATGAAGGGCTCTGCTGTACTTCTGCTCCTCAGCAAGCCTAACAGACGCTGTTTTGCTTTGCTAGTTTGACTTAGCCATACTCTTCCCAAGGAAGATAGTTTCACAGTCCTGCAGTGAAGTATCTACCTACCATATGGCCCAGACCCATTTTTATAACAAGGGTATTCCTTATTCTCCCCTAGAACATCCTAAACTTGTTATTTTCCCCTATATGTCTGCATTTTCTGCCCCAGAACGGAATGTCCCCTGAGTCTGGGGGATTTGAGGGGAAACTTCATAGCAACCAGCTTTGCTACAGTTTATAGGTGAGGGTACTGAGGTAGGGTCCTCCAGTGGCTGTCAGACCTTGCTCTGCTGTTTGAAGTAATGTCCTGGGCCTGACTATATCAAAGGCTGAAGGAGTCTAAACACCAAAACTACTCTGTACTTTTGTGGCTTGGCAGCTGTGCTCAGTGTTGTGCTTGGATCATTGCATCTAAGCACCTCAACTCAATGGTGTCCAAGTAGTTGGTCAAGAACAGTTTGTCCTGTTCCTTTCCTTTGCTCTATTCCTCAGCTTCCCTGCCTAGAGAGACAGCTATTCCAGAGAAGGCAGTGCAGACAACAGCTTGGGTCTGAAGATTCACATCAGATAGTTGCCTAAAGTCATGCGGCATGACTTTCAGCTGCCTCTAAGAGGGTGACATCTCCAACGCCCTGGGAGAAGGAGGTAGTGTATTTCTTGAGGATGGGGAGGGGCCACCTTTTCTTGCATAAAACCAGAGAGGTAGAGCTACTGTTTCACCATAGAACACTTTTCCACTTACCTCTTGGACTCTATGTATTACAGCAACACAACAAACCCCAATATGGCCCAGGTGGCCATGTAGCAGTGCTGCAGAGAAATCTTGGGGAGTGGCTCAGGGGATTGTGGATTCCCTCCACATCTCTGCTTCACTGGGGACTTTCAAGACACAAAGATCCATCTGACTAGGGAACACTCAAACAAAATCATTAACAGTGAGCAATAAAGACTGCTGAACTGTCCGTGCTTTTGAGTAGCTGTACAATCTCTACACCACTGAGACGAAGCGAAAACATCCCAACAGGGAAATAGTTTCCAGTCCTCTAGTCCATAATGTCTGAATACTGTTTTAACTATTCCTGCTGCTTGGTTTGAATTCCCTAAATCATGCCCAATAAAGTCAATATTCTACCAAGAACAGCTTCACAGTAACAGGTAGGGAAGCAGGTGACTGAGAACCAGCACTGGTGTAGCTCAGTGAAGCTGGTGAAGTCACTGATGCCTCTGGGACTTGTGGTGGCAAAGCCATCTTCTCATCAGAGATGTAAAACTCGATGCTAAGAAAAAGCAGCGGGGTTGTGGGGGCACAAACCAGAATGCTATCTGCTGGCCTCTGGGTTAACTTTGGAAAACCAGTCATTAATTTTGCATAACTTACTTTTAGGGATGTGGTTTAAGCCAATCTGGGAGGCTGGTTTGGGGGATTCAAGGCTTAAAACTCTGGTCTGGCTGGCAGTAGTTTCTCCCAAATCTGTACCACCCAGTTGACTAGGGTTCATCAGCCCAGTAGGATCAAGGTGTGGATCAGAGCTACATGAGGACAAGGAGTTGGCCCTTGCTTTAGACACTTACCTAGATTGGAGAGGGTCCCTTCAGCTTTCTCATAAACACAGTAATGTAATAAAAATAAATTCTGTCTGGTCCTCCTGTCTATATATTGGCCATGCAAGACAATTTTGACATCCACAACTTTGGCAGGCTTTAGAGGCCTAAGCATACCGTTACAAAGGATGTCCAGCTCTTATCCCTCCATTTCCAAGTACTCTGAGAAGGCTTGGCTCTCCAGCCCCATTACACAGCTATGAGCAGGTGATACCCTGGGGGTTGTACTCTGAAAACAGCAGCAGAGGACCAGTTTCCAGCAGTGCTCTGCCCCCTTGACCTCACTGTCCCCTCAAGGTTGTCCTCCTCATCCCCAGATACTGCACACATAAGGCCGGCAGTTTCTCTCCATCCTTTCCTTTTCCCAAAGGATTTTCCCCCATGAGTAGGCACCAGACCCACTCAGCTCTCCTCTTCACTCTTCACGGGGGCCAGAGCTGTCTGCTCACTGTGTTGGGGTCCTCCACCAGTCCTTGTGGCCTCCCCCCGTTTTGCACAGGAAGCAGTTCCTTCCCGTGCGTGAATTTTCTGGTGCCTCCTCAGGTACTTCTTCAGCCGGTAGCGCTTCCCACAGACCCCACACTTGTAGGCCCCACCTCGGGAATGGAGCAGCTGGTGTTTAATAAGATGGCGCTTCTGAGGGAAGCATTTCCCACACTTGGTGCACTTGCAAGGCCCCATGCGGACATGGATTGTCTGGTGCCGGAAGAGGTTGGCCTTCTGGTTGAAGGTCTTCTCACATTCAGGGCACTGGTAGGGCTCTTCCTTGGTGTGGATCCTCTGATGCCGGACCAGATTTGACCGCTGGGTGAAGCTCTTCCCACACTCGGTGCATTTGAAGGGCTCACTCATGTGGACTCGCTGGTGGCGGATCAGCTTGCGGTTCATGCGGAAGCTCTCCCCACACTCGCTGCACTTGTATGGTCCCTCGCTCGTGTGGATTTTCCTGTGCCTGGTCAGGTTTGATTTCTGGTTGAAACTCTTCCCACACTCAGGACAGGGGAATATCCGTTCACACTTGATTGCTCCTTTTGCTGAGGGATCTTTCTTGGACATGGATTTCTCCCAGTTCTCCAGCATTCCCTCTTTGGTGGGCTGAAAGTATTTCTTCTGCTTCCTCTTTGGGCTCTGGCTTTCCTGGTGGTTGGTCTCCACACCAGGTTCCTCTTTGATTTGGATCCTCTGGATAGCACAGAGGTTAGGCTTCTGCCCATAATGCATCCCAAACTCAACGCTTTCCTGTTGTTCTTCCTTCACATGGAGCACCCGGTTACTGGCTATGACTTCCCGTTCATGCTGCCCATCAGCATCTTCTTCTTTTTTAAGATCTCTCGCCTGTAAAGCCATCAGTTGGATCTTTGGATCAAATTGCTTTCCATAGTCTGGGTTTTCTGGTGGCTCCTTCTTGATGTAAAGTTTCTGGCAGGCTATTGTAGTAATGTTTGTTGTGTCATCAGTGGGTAGTTCTGGTTCCTCCTTCATCTGGATTTTCCAAGGAGGGCTTTTTGGATTAGATGGGTTTCTAGGTATGTTACACCCCTGGGCTACGCCTTCTTCATAGGACATATTCTCCAACATATTGTCCTCTGACCTGATGGCAAAATCAGGCTCCTCTTTAATCTGGATGACCTGGAGAGACACACCATTGATATGTCCCTCGAGTGGCTTTTGCTTAGCATGGTTCCTTTGGTGGACGTTGAAATACCGCTTGGTGCTCAAGCTCTTCCCACACTCAGTGCAAATGAAAGGCCCCCCGCGGAGGTGTATCTTCTGGTGGGCCAGCAGTGTGGCACTTTGCCCAAAGCACCTACTGCAGTCGGGGCATTTGAAGGGCTTGTCCCGCTTGTGGATCTCTCTATGTGCAGTGAGGGTCCCCTTCTTCACAAAGCTCTTCCCACATTCAGTGCAGGCGAATGGCCTCTTCTCTGTGTGTGTCCGCATGTGGATATTGAAGTAGATCTTTGTGCTCAGGGTCTTGCCGCAGTGGGCACAGAGGTAGGGACCCCCCTTGGAATGTGTCTTCTGGTGGGCAGCCAGGCATATCTCCAGGCGGAAGCAGCGTCCGCACTCCCTACAGCAGAAGGGCCTCTCTCCTGTGTGGATGCTCTGGTGGGTTGTAAGGTGGCCCCGGGTGGTGAAACGCCTCCCACACTCCCCACAACTGAAGAGCTCCTCTGCCGTGTGGATCCTCTGGTGTCTCTTCAGGTTCCCCTTCTTGCTGAAGGATTTGCCGCACTCCTGACACAGATGTGTCTTTAGTACCATGTGTTTAACCGAGTCCTTCATGGCAGCAGTGCCCTGCACCCAGTGGTGTGTGGTGGGGGCTGCCAAGCAGCCAACAGGTACAAAAAAGCCACAATGTTATGGGGATGGACTGTCTGGGAGGATACAAAAACCATCAGGACACACGCATCAAAGTGTACTTTAATGGATGCACTTTATTCCCCATAAGGGAAAGGGTGCTTCTGCTGTCGGCCACCTCAGGGCCAATAAGGAATGTGTGCTCATCCTCACTTCTCAGCCTCCTTCCACCTCAGCTTGTAGGTGCAATGTTTGTAACTCCATCTCCTGTCTCCTCTGATCCGGAGAGGTTTCCCTGGCATTCCTGGAGACTCAGATTGTCAGACTGAAAAAATAAAGGGAAAATTATTAAGTCATTATTTCTTCTCCACCTTCTGTGTTCACTATGTAAACACAACAAGTGGCACCTTGCCTGCTCCATGGGAGACTGAACCAGAGACCTCCAAAGCCACAGGCTCATCTGGACGCCAACAGAGAGAGCAGAAACTGGCTGATTTCCCCTGGCAATTGGGGGATCTGTGATGCATTTTCTGCTGTAATAACACTGAGATTTCAGCTCTACTATTGCTGCACTAGTGATTTACTCTCAGAATAATCCTCTATCCTCTTTCAAGAAAATTTATAGGTAAATAAGTTAATTAATTAATGCACTTTGCAGTAATTGTTGTAATTAATCCTATTTTTGAGGAGTGGCTATGCAGAAATCAGAAACCCCAAAACCTAGAAGAGAATCAATCTGGGCACCATTTCCAAACTGGGATACCTCCATACACAGGAGAAGACAGGCCAGTGATGTTTTCAGTGGACAGCTGGAGAAGTGAGAGGAGTGACTTTGTTCTTTTCAAGAGGGTTTAACTGACAGCAGAGTCTCGGTCCTATGTATTTCCATTACAGAAAAAATAAAATCAGAGTCAACAGAGTTGTGAACAACATCTCCTATCAAGACTCTGAGATGCAGCAGGGAAAAGAGCCAGAAAGACTGTGGGGAGGAAGACAGTGGTGCTGGATATGACTGTCAACGAGAGTATACATGGCTGGACAGGCTTTTACTGATGGTAGTGATGGCTGGAGGTGCTGCTGCCAAAACCACCCCTTATGGGGCAAGCTGCCAGCAAGGACATGGGTTGTCAGTGAAACCTGTGCCTGGAGATCTGGGTCACTGGGAAGGCTGTGGCTGCAAAGGAGTCCCTGGGGAGCCTGTTACTAAGGTATAGGGGGCTGGGGCAGGGGGATGCCATGGATCAGGGGACAAGCAATAGGAGATGTGGACTATAAGCATTCAAGCACAGCTTGTGATGCAAAGTTTGCAGCGACACACTCCTCAGAGTAGAGAGGACAGAGTGGTAAATGAAGTGGGCATCTATGTTAGATTTCAGAGGACAGTTACAACACGGAAAGTTACTTCACATTTAGCAGTGCCGCTTGTGTTTCCCCTTCAGCTAGCCCATCTGGATCCCCGCTGATGCTGGTAAGAGCCACCACCGAAGCATAAACGTGCTCCTGTCCAAGCTGAATTCTCCATGCTGGTACAGAGGAACCACAGGAAAACAAGCACAACACAAACCAAAAAAAAGCCCACAAAAAACCCAACCAACCAAAAAAAATAACTATGTGCAAAATGATACTGAGCCATGAGAGACAAATCACACCCACCTGAAGCACGATCAGGGTCTAGTGTTTGCTAGTGGAGGGGAGACTCCAGGGGACCAGACCCCTTCCCTAGGTGTGGGAGCAGCTATGTGACACCTACAACTGGTTTTAATTAATCAGACAAAGCCTCAGCAGCAGGCAGGTTGTAAAGAGGACTCAGAAAAGTTCAACAGTGTATTTTTCCCGAGGAAGGTCATCAACCCCCTGAGCAGATAGCGGATTTAGCCTCCCCCCACCAAGGACCCTCCTGCTGGGTCTGGCTGGTGCAGCCTGGGCGGAGGCGGAGCAGGTGTCGGGCTCGCTGCGCTGCCCAGGGCCTCTCTCCTCACCATGGATGCTCTCACTGCTCTGTTGGAAGACACAACTCACCGGCAGCTGCGTTTAAAAGGCCTCTGGGTTTTGGCAAAAAGCAACAAATCCCTGAATTCAGATCAGGGTAAAAGAAGAAATTCCTAGCCACTTTCTTCCTTTTTTTTTTTTTTTTCCCCCCCTCTTTTTATTTCAGTATCCAGATACTACCGATCCAAATCCTGCCTTTACTTCCAGCTCTGCAATCCCCCGGGCTCCGGGTTTGAATCAAGGGCAAAACCAGATCGCAGGGAGTTTCTTTGTCTTTCATTTGGGCCACCCGGACAAATCAAGAACAGTTGGCCGAAAGCATCTTACCTGAGTGGGCCATCAATCTCTGGCTGGCATTTCTCTCCTCCGGTGCAGTCTCAATGGCACAACAGTGTTTGCGACTTGGCTGCAAGTTGTGTTGCAGCCGCAGCTGGGCTGACCTAAAGGAAGTCTGTGGCCAGTGCAGTGAGAGCTACCGGAGGAAGGGTGAAGCGAAACAAAGACAAAGAGCAAAGGTTGAAGGAGCAGGGGGAGGACAGGGGAGATGCTCTCGACTCGCGCTGCTGGGAGGGATTTTCATGACACCGTTAAGATGTTAGAGGGAGCGCGGGGAGGAAGAGGAGGGAAATTTCTCCCTGATGTGCCTTTCTTCTGCACCGCTACATTGGTGGGAAGCTGGAAGGGTCCCCAGCTCGCACTGCCTTCTGGGAATTGTAGTTCTCAGCAGCTCTGGTGCCCCATCCTGCCCTCTCTGCCCTGGCAGCCTGGTCAGGATCAGGTCATTTCTCTCTTGCACCTGCTGAGAGTGTTTGCTCTTTTGTTTGTTTGTTGTTTGTTTGTTTTTGTGGGAGAGAAAACATTCTGCAGTGCTACAAACATCCTTCTTCCCTCCCAGACTGATTGTCTGGGACTTGCTCCAGGAAGTGTCAGGAGAGGAAAGATGCCTTTCAGGGTGTATTTCTGTGTCCGTAACAGCTACCCTGTGGGGGAGATAGCAACTGAGGCTGATGCCTCGTTACCAGCAAGGGATCCCTTTTAATTCCCAGTGAAAGCACAAAAGGAGTGTGCAGGTTAGACAGAGGTGGACACTGAGGCATGTGGATGTGATTTAGCAATGATGAGCACCACCTGGGAGAGGTTGAGCCTCAGCAGGACCTCACAGAAAGTACTCAGACCTTCCTGGATCTGCCCTCTACTATGAGGCTGAGACCCAGCAGGAAGACCTAGCCCAGGATGCTCCTCTGGGAGAGTTTTAGGAGCATGTGCATGATAAAAAGCTGACTCTTCAGCATGACTCTTCCCTGGGGCAGTGATTAGAGACTGTCCCATGTCACTGGGGCTGGACAATAATACACATTGCTGCATAAGTCAGGACCTTCAACCTTGTCATAAATATGACACAAGGCTGCAAACATGCAGCCTCCTCCTCTTCGATTCAGGGAAACTGAGGCAGGGGATGGCGAGAAGCCTGGCTTAGATCACACAAGGAAGTTCAAGGTTGCAGGGTCCCCGGAGTTCAGATCTAGTCTACACACTGTATGCCTTGGATAAATTCTGCTGATGTATTTCCTACCCCAATACATATCAGCAGTATGAGGAGGCAGTAAGCAGCAGTAGGAACATGTGCCTACATTCCAGCTTGTATCTCAGTCCAATGAAGGAAGATCTAACCATCTTTATACCAGCACATGCACAGTAGAAGATAACTCAAACCTCATCCTTTGCCTTACCAAAGTTCTTCTGTTTTGATGTGTGGAAGTGCCGCAGCAGGTCCTGGACAGACAGGCAAGACCATGGTGTTAGGCCACAGTAGATCCTGGATATGCTGTGGCCAGATTCCTCATGTGCAGGACTGTTTAGGCAACATGCCTCCCTTTTCCCATCATTCCTGTTTCCATACCGACAAAATCCTGCCTGCCAACAATTTGGATAGTGCCAGTCAGCAGCTCCATCATCTGGTCTCATCTTGGTGTGTGGCACCATGGAGGCAGAAAGGTTGAGACAGAACATGGATGAGGGGCTCACCTGAAGCATCTGGGGGGACTATTTGTGTGAATCCTTTGCTGCCAGAGACATCTAGGGGAAGGGACAAGGATTATGCCATTTCAGCCGTGTCATTGTCCATTCATCCACTGGGGAAGTGGACACCTCTAGTAGGGTGGATGACTTGTGCCCTCAGAGCTCCTTTTTCTCTCCATTGACATCTGCATTTTCCAAAGTGAGTCCCTTCCACAGCTCACTGTCTCCTTCAAACAGACCAGATCTGCCTGTTGTCCCTTCAGGCTCATACAAAGCCCAAAGACCAAGAAAAGAAGGGACAAAATATGCCGTGGTATGACCCCAAGGTTTTCTCTTGTAGTCAAAAATAGGCTCAGAGTGCTTCATGCTCATTCCCAGAAGGGCTTCACAGACAAAGCTGTCAGGGCAGGGTTAGGCTATAAAATACCTCTTCCTAAGCCCAGTTTGGAATTGGTGACCTCACAGTCTGAACAGAACTGAGGAAACCCACTTCGGAAGTTGTGCCATCAGCTGCAGTGACAGCCTCTGCAATGTACCACTAGATGCCAGTGAAAGCTCTTCCCAGTTCGCTCCTGCTTATAAAATCTTATACTTTTGGTACTTTCTTTTGTTTTATTGTATTTTTTAAAAGGCAGTCCTTCACTTTTGATCTAATAATGCCTCCTTGCATTTGGGTAGTATATATGAATATATGTGTCAATGTATGTTGTGTATCTTTCTCTCTCTCTCCATTTGCCTCTCTGTTTCTCTCATATATATATATATATATATATATATATATATATATATATATATATATTTGACTTTGTTTCCCATTATTTAGATGAGAACTTCTTCCCAGTGTCTCCCCAGACCAGGATCTCACCTCCAATCTCATTTCTTCATCCCCCTTCCAATCAAACACCCCAACTCCCCAAACCCTTTACCTGCTAAATCCTCTAGCCACCGCATCATGACCTGATGTCCTGACTTGGACAGTAAACGTAGTAAAGAAACGTAGAGGTGCTGGCATTGCATATCCAAGCCCTGTCCTGCTCTGGGAGATGACCAAGAGGAAAGATATAGGTTCATCTTATCCAGCTATGGGAATAATAACCTGGAGGAACAGACCTGCAGGCAGCTGGGGAGGGGATCACAAAGTAGAAGCAAATTAGTGCAGTAGTGCCAATAACCAGCTTGGATATGTTTGGTGCTTAGTGGGAAGGTGAAATGAATAAACTTGTAGACACTACAGTACTAGGAAAGAAACCCTATATGGGGAAAGGGTAAAAAATAAATAAAGCTCACAGTCCCGTACACCAGCAAGCTCTATGTTGAACTTCCCTGGTGTAGAGATCAGTATAGGACTGAAATGATCTCACATTTTTTCTTTTAGTGCCTGGAGTTCTGCACTTTGCAGAGCATAATCTGTCCCATGTTACCCACTGACATTTTTGCAAGGTCTAAGCCTTTGAGCATCCTCCAGGCTTTGCACACACCATTTTTTCACTTGGTTGGTCAAGGTCCAAGTGGATTGGACTATCCCATGGGCACTCAGAGTGAACACAAAGCTCAGCAGCTATCCAGGCAGGAGGGTGTGGGGGGTGGGCTGTGTGTTTGGTGTAGAGTACTCCAGTGCCTGGTACAACTCTCGCTCTCTGAAGTGCCTGCTGGTTGCCAGTGGAGACAAGATGTTAGACGTGACAGAGTAAAGGTCTGATCAAGAATGGAGATTTCTGTGTTTCTTTCTCAGATCTAACTCTGTGTTTGACCAGTCAACTATATCCAACAAGGATGCATAGGAAAAGTGAGAAGTAAATTTAAGCTGAGCTGTCGTATGCTCCAGTGCTTGATTAATTACACAGTGAAATAAAAATGGAATTTGACAAAATAAAGGAGGAGGGGTAAATGAAATCTTCATTCTGCTTTAGAAGGAAATATTGCTGCAGGTTTTATTACAGATGCCACAGTTAATCACATCAGGAGGCTTGAGGACGGGAGGTTGCTTGTTGTGCTGGGTACACACAGTGCAGGAGAGCTGGACAACATGACATGGAGAGATAAGGAAGCAGGAAACCCAGTTATTTGTTCAGGTGAGTCTGTGATTGTTCCCAAGATTTGTGAACACGATAGGTGCCAGCTGAGGCTGAGAAAGCACCTAGCTGCCTTGCTACACTGTAGATTGCTTTTATTAATTTAGGAAACAACTCTCACAGTAAGGCAAACGTGATAAAGAAGAATAAAGTGTTTAAATGACAAGTAATTTTCCATGTTATTCAACCCCCCCTTGCTTTTCTTTAATTGCTTTTGAGCATCTGATTAGGAAGGAAAGCTTTTATTTCTTCAGCCCACATCTCCTACAGCTTCATTGTGCACCCCAAGCCCACGGTTTCCCATCCTGCTGCCATGAAAATAATTGCGGTGCCTGTGGCTGCTTCCGTATCCAGCATGTTCATCTGATAAGAGCTTCAAATGAAAAACTGGGTTTAAGCCCAAATGGGCCCAGCACCTCTCAAGCCTGGCCAGATCACAGCGACCCTTTCACCTGTTTGTCCTATGAGCAATGGGCTTCTCATACATGAAAACTTAGTTGTTTGGTTTTGTTTTCCTGGGGAGAACTCCAGTCAGGTCTGGTGATTGTAGGGCTTCTGTCAGGAGAGAGAAGGAAGGATTATGGTTGTAATGTCCCAGACCCAGAAACCCCTCCTTGCTCTGCTCACTCTGCTCCAAGTTCTGTCAGCATTGTGGGAGGGATCAAACATCTCCAGGTTTTCTGGACAAGTAGGTGAGTAGGGAACTGGGATGTTACAAGGACCTTGAGACCTAGCCTCACACCAGTCCCTATTTCATCCTCAGTCCCATTCTTTTCACCCTCGCTGCAATTTTCTTTCTGAAAATGATAACCACATCATAAGATAACTTTAAAAACCTAGTGAGATCTAAATGACATGCCCAAGGTTGAACAGCACATCAGCAGCAGAGCAGAGAAGCATCTCAGAATCTGGTGTAATGCAGCACAGCTCTGCTGCTTAACAGAGCAGCCTTCCCAGTGCCTGTCTAACACAACACCTGCTAGCCAATGCTCTTACCCTCCTGGCCTCATCCTTCCTCCACAGACAAACCTTGTAGGTCCTCCCTGCCTATAAGCATGTGCAATAAAGTTATAGCTACTTGATTAGTGAGTGCTACTGGCCCTCTAATGTCTTTCATTTCCCACATCTCATGGAGATGGAACCAACCATTTATCCCTAGAACTGGTAGATGTCTTTCAAGTCCAGATTATAAAAGTGAAGTCTAGGCATGAGCTTGGCCTGTGCTGGTGCCTCAGTTTCCCTGCCTGGAGGGTAGTGTGGGTAAACTCATCTGTAGGGATTGTTGAGAAAGCAAAGCCTTCACTTTCAAATATCTGCAGCAGAGCTAGCCTCCCTGGTAGTGAGAGGAGCTTATATTTAGTGGAGGAATTTCAAGGGCATGATTCATCTGCTTTAATTTAGACATCTGCCTTAGGCTGAGGTGAATCACACCCAGGGCCCCCTTTGACTTGCTACCTAGTAAGCCCTTTCTGCATGTTACCTAGTAAGCCTGGGGCAGGCACAGATGTGCGCATCTTCCTGTGT